AAGAATGGTAAAAATTTTGGGAAAAGTCCATGAAACAGTATTAAATAAACACAGAAAACAAAAGACTATATTACAGGTATGTTTCCAATGTTGTTTAAAACAAAAGCATTTTTATCAGCATAACAAAGACTTGGAAGAAATACATCAATACAGTGCCAGGGTACTGATAATATAGGTGATTTGATTCTTTTTATGGATTTTATAAGAAAATGTGGCTAACAGAGAAGAATATGGGCTTGCTTAATAGAAATGTTAAATACTAGGTGGTCTCTCCCGCTTCCTCCCCATCCCCACAAAGTAAAGGAAATAAAAACAAGTGAATCCTATCACCATGAACACTGGAACATATACAGCTGCTATTTTTCTACCTGATATATGGCTAAAAGTAACAAAGCTTTATTGATTGTTATAGTAAATTATCTACAGGAATATTATTGATGAATTGGTATTGATGTCTTGCTTCTTTTGCTCTGTCATCTAACAGTAATTACCCTTTAACTCACTCATCTTAAACACCTCCAATTACCCCTGCCAGGAAGAAAAAAAATAAAAAGACTCGAACTATTTACTCTCCACTACTAAAAGAAAATAAAACAATCCAGGGCCAAGTAAAGACAAAGGATAAAGACAAGATTACAGTTTCCTTTTACTTACTCTGCTGAGAACACTCTTCTTATATTCAACACAGAGAGGCTAGACATCAACTCTGCTTCATGTCTAAATATGCATGTGTTTGTCTATGCATTAAAATTCTATTACAATAAAAACTTTTGAATTTTGCAATTGCAGTAGTGATCTAATATTTACTTAAACTGTATTTTGTCAACTTCTGATCATCTCTGTGATGATGATGATGGGAGATGGCAGCATGCATAATCCCAGACGAATTTATATTTGTCTTTGTTCAACTTCAGATTCACCCAAAGTAGAGAATGGTAGAATTTTTTTTTTTGAGAATGGTAGAATTTTTATAGCTGGAAGGGACTTAAAGATCATTTATTCTATCCTTGACAGTTTGCAAAAGAAGGAGCCAAGACCCAGAGAGATAAAATGACTTAAACAAAATTCTAATGCTTTCTCAACTGTAATATTCTATCCCTTTATAATTAAAAAAAGCTGATAATACATGTGGATAATGAACTCTGAGTACATAGCTGGACACAGAGCTTACCAAGGAACAATCACTGCTTATATATGTCATTCATTCTCATCTACTCAGATCTTGGCCCCAATTCTACTTATAATTAACTGATAGCACAGTAAGAGTTGCCACAATGGGAGATTCCTCTTTACATGACTGCCATGGAGTGGGAATGGGGAAAAGGTAACTCTATTTAGTTGCTAAGACAACAGGAAAAGATACAGGAAATAAACCCTGTAATTAGAGCATAGAAAAGCAGGTGGAACCAATTCTTTCTTATGGCCAAATTAATTCACAGCATCTCAATTCTAATTGGAGCCTCAGCTGTATTTCCCCATGATATAATGCATTTACATCATGGCTAAATAGTATTCTATGGGAGACCTAATGACCACATTTAACAAAATTTCTGTGGAAAAATATATGTTAGTCTCATTATTTAACTCACCACATTGGAAAAATATAGCCTACTCATAAATTAAGAATTGCCTGGATAGGCCTAACAGATACATTTTTATGAGTACTTAAATAAATTTGTAAAAGGAAAAATGAACTAGCTAATGAGAGAGTGAACAGAAAAGTAAGTAAAGGACATATTTAATTAAACAAACAGGAAAAAACCCTGAAAATATCAAAAGGAGTGATTTCTTTCATCCTCCTGGGAATAAGCACAAAAAAACTCACAGTCATTTCTGCCTGTAAATATTTCCTGCCCTATAACCACACCCAAGATCTTCATAACTAAAGGCAAGAAAGGAGCACAGTTTAAGACAGGGAAAAGTGACTAAAAGACCCAGAGAATGGTAATTTCATAATAAATCTTGCTTGTCTAGATACATAAAAGAGTAAACACACTGGGTCAGAAGTGTCAACAGGACTTCTAAATGTATTCAGGTAGCCAGTAATGTCATTGAGATCTTGGGACATTTGTCTCAGCTGAACATCTATATTTTCTGCTATACTATAACTCTAAAGCAGGTAAAATAAAAGAATTAACAAAAAGTGTTTTCCTACATTCTTTGTTATTGACAAAGAAGATATAACCAACTGGATTTGTCCCAATTCCCCTATCTCTCACTGGGTCTCAGTTGCAACTGATGTCACATTTTCATGGGTACAGTGTTCATGATCTTACTGCCACCATATTCTAAGAAGAGTGTGAAGGTGAAGGCTTTTATCCACCTTCTCATTTTTAGTAAAATCTATTTATTCCCTATCTAATGCGCTGGTGAACTCTGAAGCAAAAGAACTCTTTTTAAGTGGCAAAATACTCCCATAAGATATTTAAATATATAAGAGAAGTTAGTGTTTAACAAATTCAATAAATGCTGAGATGTCTTCAATGATAGTGAATACATAAATTTTTAAAGTAAAACCTTATATATTTGATAAAAGATGTTTTGAGATATGAGCTTTATGATAATAAAGGAAGATAAATATAAGCATACTATAAATTGATTAGTGACCTAAATTCTCAAAATTTCCATCCAAAGTATTTATTACACATAAACACACACACACACACACACACACACTTAACCTAATCAACAAACATGTTTATAAGAATTAATGCACCCAGAAGATTTTCATCCTTAATATCTACAAAAATTAAAACATTCAATTAGGTTTGTTGGTAACTATCTACTACCTTTCTATGCCAGAGTTCTTATATGTTGCCTAAATTGTTGATTTTGGTGAAAGTTTTATCACAATATAAATTTAACTATAAAAACATTGGAAAGGAATTAATGTTTAAAGATTTCACAAACTATAGTTAGGATCTTATGAACAAAAATGTAACTCTATGTTTTCAAAACATAATAAAATGCATTGTTATGGTTTGGGTCTAGATGTCTCCCCAAAGCCTCATGTGGTCATAGGGTTGATCTAGAGTGTGTGAAGCTGGAATTGATTCATGATGCAATGCTAGGCTCAAGGGCACTAGGATTAAGGGTGTGAGTGCTACCCACCCTAAGTACCCTGAATAAGATAAAAGGTGCAGAAAGATGCTGGTAACTCTCTTGTTGCCTTTGCTTCCTTGTGTGCGCCATGTTGTTTCTGCTCTGCCATGCCTGTTTGTCATCTCTGCCTTGGAGTCAGCTTATTATGGACTGAAACCTCTGTGAACTGTAAGCCAAATAAAACCCTTCCCTTTTAACTTTTGGTGCTGGGTATTTTGTCTCAGCAATGAGAGAAAAGTAATAACATATGCATGAAACAGGAAAAGAAAAGAAAAGAAAAGAAAAAAGAAAGAAAGAGAAAATATATAGATAGATTAACAAAAGTTGAAACACAAAAGCAAAACAGACCTAGGATCAGTACTGATTACCTGTACTTACCACGTTTAATATCCCTGCAAAAATGTTAAATTATAAGCTTTAAAAGAATAAGCTCAGGGCCAGGGGTTTAGCTAAGTGGTTCCAGCGCCTGCCTCGCAAGCGCAAGGTCCTGAGTTCGATCCCTGGTACCAAAAATATATAAATAAATAAACAAAATTGTGAGCAAAAGAATAAGCTCAGCCAGATGCAGTGATGTGTGCCTGTAGTGAGCTCAGGAGTTCAGGGCCAATCGGAACCACATAGGAAGGCCCCATCTCAAAAAACAGAAAGCCTAGTTTTAACTCTAGTAACCCATTGATAAAATGAGCCTGATTTAGTCTCAATTTAGATTATGTAATACATTCATACAAAGTTTCCTAGCACTTTTTAAATTGGTCTGATTACCAAATCTTAGATCTAGTGAGATAAAGTAACTGCAAGAACATTGGCAACAGAGTGACAGAACGTAAAGACTGAACAGTACACAAATAATATATACCTTGCCTGAGACATTGACAAAATCATCCCACTTTTGAAGGCTATGTAGTTTATCCCCACATTAACAAACTGCCTTTAAAATAGAAAAAAAATTAACACTAAAACAACTGCATCATTAGGTTTAGAAGAGTCAAACATAAATAAGAGATCATAAATATTCCACAATACTATGACACTACATACATAAAATTTGTATTTTTAACTTAATAATAAACTTGAGAAACAAAAACTTTAGAGTGGACATACACAAGCTTGAGATTAATACCAGTGTACAGAATACTATAAAACAAAATTGCTAGAACACTGAGGTGATGCTCTTTTTTTTGTTGCAGGGGATCAAACTCGGGACCTTGTACTTGGGAGGCAGGCAGTGGAACAACTGAGCTAAATCCCCGGCCCTGAGGCGATACTCGTTTAAACACTGAATAGTTTCTCTGGTGTGAGAAACTGAAAGTGTTAATAAGGATCAAAAGGTATAATAGATAATGTGAAATAGGAAGAAAAGGGGCAAAGGGGAAGGGGAAGTAGGAGGAGTAGGGGAAAGGAAAGAAGGGAATGGAATTAATATGAGAAAATGAAAAAATGTAAACAAAGACTTTGTAAATAGAAAGGGGTGGAGGGGTTGAAGGGAGGGCAAGGGAATGGGGAAAAAATAAGAATCAAGATATATTATTTAGGGCCGGGAATTTTGCTCAGTGGTGCCTCCACCTGCCTCGCAAGTGCAAGGTCCCGAGTTCAATCCCCGGTACCAAAAATTAAAAAAAGATAAATTATGTAATGGTACAAATCTTCAATGATGAATGTCATTATATTTTATACCTAAAATCTACCAATAAATTAATTTTAAAAATTGCTAGAATGATTTCTTCATTTTCAAGCCTTCACAAAACAGTCAAACTAGTCAATAAATGTCAACTGTAAGAACTTGCCTTTTCTACCAATATTTATTCTCTGCCTTCTGAGTCAATATTTCCCTTCCTTCTTGGAATACTCTCATAGTAGTTAAATTCTCCCCATTCCTTAGTCTTCATTCAGTTACTTACGTCCTCTCCTGCTTCTCATCTGCATGCAACAGATAAACAGGCCCACTCTTGTCCACAGATTCTTCTGCAGGAGTCAGTATATCTTCTGATTCTTTCTTCTGAGACAAGATAAAATATAATTCTTGACCCAACCTGGATAAAATAAGTCAACAGAAGGGCTAATGAAAGGAATTTGTAGTAAACACAATTAATGTTAATAAAATACAAGAAAAAAAAATACAAGGAAAAAAATTGGAAAAGATAGGTTTTTAATCTTTCAATCAAGGAAATCTTAGGTTTTACCTTTTTTGATCAAGCTTCACTTTTTCTACTTCTCTATGTAAAGCAGTAATCTTTAAAGAGAAATAAGAAAGAAATAATTAACTATTTGAATTTCCTTATCATTTTTCTCAAATATACCTCATATATGAAACATTTCCTATTACAAGGCACTTAATACTTAAGACATCCGGTGCCTGCCTCGCAAGCATAAGGTCCCAAGTTTGATCCCCGGTACTAAAGAAAAAAACAAAAAAACCACAGAAAACAACAACAACAAAAAACTCAAGGCAAATATTTGGAAGCTGTTCTCCAGTATTGCAATAGAAAATTATACAATGCAAGTAAATTAATGTTTCTTACCTTCTCACCATTCTTAATCAGTATATGATCCCAAGCATTGACCTGAGTGGCCTGATGTAAAAAGAGTTTCTCTTGATCCTCTACCTCAAGGCTCCACTTGTTTATCAGCCCATCCAGCTGACCATAAGTCATCACAGGAGTTACTACTGAACTAAAAAATAAAAGGATGCAATATGATCATATTTTAAAAACAACACAGGAGGACTTAGAGAAGTTAGCGTGGGAGGAAGCTTTCATACCTGCTTCCCAACAAAATAACCTTAACAGGTAATGATGATTTTAAAATAATCATTCAAAGTCTCTGGAAATTATCCTAAGGGAGGGACTATATCAAGTAAAAATTTATTAAGAAATCTACTAAATTACTGTAAGAATAGCTCATCTGTTCTCCCTCCCCTCTCTTCCCTTTCGGTCCCTGTCTCCCTCTTATCTCAAATCAGCATGATGGAAGCTTCTTGATGTCTTTTTTGGATGAGTATGTCCAAGGAGATAGGATTCTCTTTCTCCTTCTCCAGCTATTAGTCAAAGTGATCCATTTCCTGTATGAGTAATATTTGTGAGAGAATATGCATCTTCAATCAGGAAGAACCATGAGGAGCTCCAATTTGTCTGCCACATGGTATCAAAAAGCCTGAGTATCCAGCTGACCTTTGACACTCTGGGTCCTCTGCTGGGACATTATCAGCAAGGTTAAGTGGGAAGGTAACTGGCAATTTCTTGCCTGACAGAGGAATTCCCCACCAGGGAACTGTTCCCCACCAGGAGAACTGATGGGGAATTCCCCACCAGGGAACTGTTGGTGGGATCCAATGGGACACTAAATTTAAATCCTGACCTAGCACCAGCATGATGTCATGTGAGGCAAGATTAGTCACCATTGGACTTCACCTTTGCTCTGGTGTCAGTGGGACCCAGCAGAGAATCTGAACTCTTGTATTTACCCGTGTTCATTAAAGCTGAACAAGGTAATGCAAGTTGAAGATAGTAAAGCCTCCAATTTCCATCACCTTTGGAGCCAGTAAGTAGCTTGGCCTCCATACTCACTGGTGAAACCAAGACTGAAAAAAGCACGGAAAAAGCAGGGCTAGTTAGCACTTCTCTCTATTATTGAGCCTGGTGAGCAGGGCCCAGATGAGAGCCACACTTCCATGGCAACCCAGCACCAATCAGGTTGAATGAAGTGGCATGTGGCAGAAGTTGATATCCTGCTCCATCCCTTCCCTTATGTCAGTGAGGTGTGAAAAGAAGATGACATTATGGGGGCCAAGGATTTAGCTCAGTGTCACCGCGCCTGCCTCGAAAGCACAAGGTCCTGAGTTCAATCCCAGGTACCCGGCCCCCCTCCAAAAGAAGATGAAGTTCTGCCTCTCCCTGCATCAACTAAGCAATATGAGTCAGTCCTCCACTTCCCCTTGATTTAGGGTCACCAGAGCTCAGCTAGGCACTGAGCTTACATCTCCACAAAGAAGCAATAAAATGATGTGATGCGGTGCTCCGATTTCATAGGGAATGAGTCAGGGGAGTTAAGTGAGGAGCTGAATTTCAATACCACTCATGGACTGAGGCACTGTATGTCATTGCTTCATTTTTGCTCAGGTAGTGTGGACAAGGTCCCATTGGAAACTGAACAAAAACACACCCATCCTTTGCACTATACCTCAACAAAGGGACTACCTAATGAAAAACAGTAGATATAAACAGGACTCAAATGCTCCAAACATAATACACAAAATGCCCAGAATACAATAAAAATATGTCATTATGAAGACCAGGAACGTAACAACTTTAAAGAGAAAATACAATCAACCCAGATGCCAACATTAAAATGTTGGAATTATGTCAAAAAGAATTTTTAAGCAACCATTAAAAAGGCTTTTAAAGCCCTTTGAATTCTCTTGAATCAAATGGAAAAATAGAGAACCTCTGCAAAGAAATAGAAGTCATGAAAAACAATCAAATAGAAAAAATTATAAATAGTAAACTTACTTGAATGATTTGATACTAGAGTGGAGCTGACAGAGGATACAATAAGTAAACTTCAGGATAGGTAATTAGAATTTATAGAGCAACAAAGAGAAAATAGGCAGAAACAAATTTTTAAAAAGTCTCAGAAACCTGTAGGACAGAGCCTTTTTTTTTTTTTTTTGCGGTACCAGGGATCAAACTCAGGACCTTGCGCTTGCAAGGCAGGCGTGGTGCCTCTGAGCTAAATCCCCGGCCCCATGTAGGACAATAATAAAAGAGATTGCAACTGTAAAATAAGAGTTCTAGAAAGAGAAGAAAGAGAGAGAGTAGAACTGAAAAGGTATTTAGGAAAATAAAAAGATTGAAAATTACCAAAATTTTGCAAAAGAAACAAACCCACAGATTCAAGAAGCTTAAACAACCCCACACAGAATAACTCAAAGAAATCCATGCTAAGATACAAAGTAGTTAAACTTCTGAAAATGAAAGACAAAAAAAAATGTTGAAAGCAAGTAGAAAGAAAAAAGCATTACTTGAAAGGAAATACCCTCCAGGCATGGTGTAATCCTGGCCTCGGGAGGATCCTGAATTTGAGGCCAGCCTGAGCTACATAGAGACCCTATCACAAACAAACAAACAAACAAACAAAGGGGATACCAATCTGAATGACAACAGATTTCTCATCTGAAATCACAGAGGTTATAAGGAAGTAACATAACACTTCTCAACACTGAAAGAAAAAATGTGTCCACAATGACCTCTATATGTTTTGGAGATGAAAAAGAAATATATTCTCATACAAAGTAAAATTGAGATAATTTGTTGCTAAAAGATCTACCCTTGAAGATTAGCTAAACAGAAAAGAAACAAAACAGAAGACTTGAAGTATTACATAAAGAAAAAAAATCAAAATGTATGAAAAGAAGGGTAAATATACTATTCTATTTCTCATGTGTTTCTTAGATGATATTGGATGGTTGAAACAAAAATTATAACTCCATGTGATGTTATATTCAATGTATAAAAATTTTTTGAGACAATTATGCTTAAAAGATAAGGACATTAAGTGGAATTTAATAGAAGTAAGGTTTCTATGCTTCATCCAAAATGTCAGTATGACAGGACTGTTTTAAGTTATGTGTGTATACTGTAATACCTAGAAGAACCAGTAAGAAAATGATACAGAGTAATATACTCAAAAACAGTATGAAGAGAAAAAAATGAAACCCTATAGAGACTATCAGACAATCTATAGGAAGGCAAGAAAAAAGAGAAATGGAAAAACAAATATCAAAGGTAAAAAACAAATAAAATAGTAGACTTAAGCCCTAACATATCAGTAATTACTTTAAATGTAAATATGGTAAATATATCTATTAAAAGATAGAGATTGGTAGAATGGATAAAAAAGCAATCCAATAATATTCTGTCTACAAGAACTCACTTCAAAGATACTGATGTAGATAGGGTGAAAATAAAAGAATAGGAAAAGATATAAGATTAATTTTAGAAAAGGAATGGCTATAGTAATACCAGATAAAGTAGACTACAGAGCAAAGAGAATTACCACAGTCAAAGGGGGTCATTACATAACGATAAAGGAATCAAGGCACCAAAGAATAATAATAACTCTAAATGTATAAGCAACAAAACAACAGAGTCTCAAGAAACATGAAGCAAATACTGATATAACTAAAGAGAGAAATAATAGTTGGGAACTTCAAAAAGCCACTCTCCACAATTGAAAGAACTACTAGACAGAAAAGTAAAGAAGATATATACAGAATCTGAAAATACAATAAAGCAACAGGGTCTCATATATAGAGAACAGTCCATCTAACAGCAGAAAACGGAATTTTAAAGTGTCAATGGAATATTAATCAAGACAGACCATTTCCTTACCCATAAAGCAAAGATGAACAAATGAAAAAACACTGAAATCAGATCGGTCATGTTCTGATTACAACAGAATCAAACTAGAAATCAACCCAGAAAGAAAACAAGAAAATCCTCAAATACTTGGAAATTAAACAGTACACTTCTAAATAATCCATGGGTGAAGGAGGAGTTTTCAGAAAAGAAAATTTGTAAGTATTTAGAAATGAAATAAAGATATAACAATGAAATATGTGAGAAATAGCTACGGTAGTGCTGAGAGAGATATTTACTTCATCAGGTGCTTATATTAGAAAAAAAAGAAAGACCTCAAAGTCTAAGTTCAGACTTCAAAAAACTATAAAAAGAGCAACATGAACTGATGCAACCAGAAAGAAGACAATAATAGTGTAAATATTGATTCAACTGAAAAAAGGAAAGCTATAGAGAATAATAAAACAAAAGCTGGCTCTTTGAGAAAAGATCAACAAAATTGATATAAGAAATAATATTAGATAATATTGGAAATGAAACAATTAGAAACAATATTAGAAATGACACTGGAATATCTCCATGCCTATTAAAAGTACAATAAAAGAATACTATGAACAATTTTGTGTTCATAAATTTAAGATGGAAAAATGAAACAATTTCTTGAAAACTACACACTACTAAAACTCACTGAAGATGAAATAGATAACCTGAACAATTCTAGAACCAGTATATAAATTGATTTGTAAGTAAAAGATCTTGTAAAAGAATTATCTTGGCCCAGAAAGTTTCACTGAAGAATTTTGCCGTTTTTTCCTTCTTTTTTCATTATTTTTTTCTTTCCCCTCTTTCCTTTCCTCTGTCTCTTCTCCCTAGTTCCCCTTCCTCTTTGAACATTTTCTTCCTATTTCACAATATCTATTAGACATTTTGGTCCTCATTTACACTTTTAGTTTCTCACACCAGAGAAACAATTGGGCATTTACACATGTGGGTCCTATTTATTTCACTTAAGAGTATTCCAGGTAGGGGTGGAGGGGTTAAAGGGAGGGAAGGGGAATAGGAAAAAATAAGAACCAAGATGTACCATGTTCAGGTACAAATGCCCAATAATGAATATAATGAATGTGATAATATATACCTAAAATGTACAAATAAACTTAATGAATTAAAAAAATAGAAAAAAGAAGAATTTTGCCAACATTTAAGAATCAGCAGTGAGCCGGGCATGGTGGCACATGCCTGTAATCCAGCACTCGGGAGACTGAGGCAGTATGATTGCCACAAGTTTGAGGCCAGCCTGGGCTACATAATGAGTTCAGGGCCAGCCTGAACTACAAAGTGATACCTTTCTCAAAAAACGAAAAAACAGGGGCTGGGGATTTACCTCAGTGGTTCCGCCGCCTGTCTGCCTATCTCTCAACCACAAGGTCCCGAGTTAAATCCCCCGTACAAAAAAACAAAAAACAAAAGCAAAACAACAACAATAACAAAAACCAACCAAAAAAGAATCAACACCAACTTAAACTATTCTAGAAAACAAGACTACTTCCTGGATCATTTTAAAGGCGACTATTACTCTGATATCAAAAGCAAAGATAAGGAAAAAGAAAAAATTACAAATCAATATCTCTCATGAACTTTGCTCACAAGCAAAATACTAGCAAGTCAAATCAGAATACACACATTATAGCTTGTTAATAACAATGTTACATGTTATAACAAAACACACACACACACAAAAAAACATTGTAGCATGGTCAAGCAAGACATGGTTGCACATCTGAAAGTCCATCAACATAATCTTCTATGGCCCCAAGATAAAGAAAAAAATCTCAACTGAGCCTAAAAGAATTTGACATAAATATGCTCAAATGACTTATGACAAAGGGGCAAAAGTGCTAGGCACACTGCAACACACCTATAGTCCCAGCTACTTGAGAGGCTGAGGCAGGAAGATCTCTTAAGCTCAAGAGTATCAGGCCAGCCTGGGCAACACAGAAAGACTTTGTCTCAAAAAAGAAAAGGAAAAAGGGTACTAAAGTAATTCAGTAGAGGAAGATAGCCTTTCAACAAATGATGCTGGAAAAATTGAACATTAACCAGGCATGTCCAATTTGCAGCCCACAGATCCTTTGCCTTCTGTTTTCCAATGTTATAATAACATTAAATAATATAATAACACAAAATAACATTTAATAAGTTATTATATTTGTTATAACAAATATAAGAAAAGAAAAATTTTTACTTACATACATTAGCTGTATTACACATTTTATATGTGGCCCAGGCAAGCCAAGTGTTGTATATTCCTGATAGGGAAAAATTACTTTGACCCAAATCTTATACTTTATATAAAAATTGACTCACAATGGATCACTAAAACTTTTAGGAAAATGTAGGAGAAAATCTTTGAACTGGGGAAAGTGTTCTCTTATAACTGACACTAAAAGTACAATCCATTAAAGGAAAAATTGACAAATTATACTTCAACTAAGGTTTTGTTTAGCAAAAACAATATTAAGAATATGACTAGACAAATTGGAGAATTATAAAACACATATTTGACAAAGAACTGGTATCTAGAATACATGATAAACTCTCAAAACTAAACAGCAGAAAACCAAATAACCAAAGTAGAAAATGGACAAAATATATGAACAGACACATCATCAAAGAAAATATAATGATGGCAAACAAACACTTGAAAAGATGGTCAACATTATTAGTCATCATGGAAACGCAATTTCAAATCATAACAAAATATAACTTCACATTTATCAGAAGCACTGAAATAAATAAATATTGACAACACCCAAACCTGACAAGAATATAAACTACCCAGATCATTCATACATTGCTGCCTGGCACATAGAACGACATAACCACTCTGGAAAAGAAGTTGGTAATTTTTTTTTTGGTACCAGGGATTAAACTTGGGTCCTTGCGCTTGCGCAGCAGGCAATGAAACCACTGAGCTAAATCCCCGGCCGGGTAATTTTTTGAAATAAACACAATTATCATACTACTGAGTATGATAGTCCTCAACATTTATCCCAGAGACAAGAGACTTATGTTCACAGAAATATTTTTATAAATGTTTATACCAGCCTAGATGTACATCAACAAGGGAGTGGCCAAACAAAGCACAGTACACCACCATACCATAAAATACTACTCAGAAATGAAAAAGAACAACTTGTGTGGATCTCAAAGAATTATGGTGAATGAAAAATGCCAATCCCCAATGGTCACACCTGTATGTATCCATCTGTAGAATATTCTTGAAATGTCATGATTATAGAAATGAGAAGATTAATTGTGGCCCAATTAATGTGGTCAGGGAATCAGGAGAAGGTAACACATGTGGGCAATGGGGAAATCTTTGTGGTGATGGAATGTTCTGTATCTTAACTTTATGAATGTCAAATCCTTGTTGTGATATTATACTATAGTTTTCTAAGTTGTTATCATTGGGGGAAACGATATAAAGGACACACAGATGTTTTGTATAGTCTATAACAATACAAGCTCTAGAGTAGGGGTGTCCAACCTGTGGCTTTATAGTAATTTTGCCCTCATTTTTTTTGAATAAAGAGGAATTGTCTTGGGCCACATACAAAATTTATAATATAGTTAAGGTATATAAGTAATAAAACTTCTTTTTTAAAATTTTTATTATAATATTAAAGAAGAAATGAAGGCAAAAAAATCCCCTGAAGGCCTCAAGTTTAACATGCATGCTAGAGCTCAATTGCCTGAATTTTAATCCTGGCTCAATCATTATCAAATATGTGACCATGAATGAATTAGACTCATAAAATCCCTACATGCTCTAGTTTTCTCACTTATAAAGTGTGAACAAAAATAGTCTCTATTTCATAGGGTTATTGTGAGGATTAAATGTTGTTTTTAAACCATTGTCACCTTGCTACATATAGAGTAATTACACAAGAAATAATAGCTATTATTAGTAATGTTAATGAATATATTATAATGTTATTCAAAAGACTGTTGGTTATTCAACTCCCTAAGCTACAGAAACCTTTCTCTGTTACCTGAGCTCATTTGTCTAACTTCAAATGCTATTCCAAAGCCACACAAGCAAACTGCCTTTGATGAGATAAAATGAAATTCACATGAATTTTCAAATAATTAGGCTTACTTAACAGTTGAAGTAAGAGGTACAGAAGAAACACTGACTAGATCAGTGTTATTAATCCCAGTTGATGTCAGTGATCTTAGATTCAGATTAAAGCCACTGGTAAGTGTGGTAGTAGTGTTGGTGGTAACAGTGGTGGTGGTAGTTGTGGAAGTTGTAGCTAGAAAATAAAATAAATAATGTTAGTAAATAATAAATGCTTCATTTAAGCCTTGATCATTGAAGGTTAAAAACTAGAGTCATTTTAAAAAATGTGTACGTGAACTCAAAATTATAGATTTAAACTTAATACTGTTGTAATATGAAATGATAGATGGCAGGCCAGATATCTGGATTAACCTTCTTGCTGAAAGCTAAAACTGTTGGATAAATTAACTGAAAAATAAAACCAAACTTAACAAACTCTTATAACTATTCAAGAAATTCAATCAAACCGGACATAGTGGTGCACACCTGTAATACCAGCACTGCAGGAGGATCACTGCAGTTCGAGACCAGGCTGGACTACGTAGGGAATGTAAGCCCAGCTTGAACTACATAGTGAGACCCTGTCTAAAACCCTTCCCATAAAGAAAACTCTTTCAAAGGTTAGGGTTAATTATCAACTTGATTGGCTTGGAAGATAGCTGCAGGAGGATTAGCAAAACACACTTGTAAGTGTCTTTGTGTGGATCATATAGGTGTGATCTTGGGTGTTATATTTAGTCCCTGGTCCTTTCCTCTCTGGCGCTGTCCTGATGATCTCCTTCCCAGTCACCATAAACAAACATCTTTAATCTAGCATACCCCTCTGCCATGATGTTCCTGCCTTGGAGCCTGCAGACACTAGAATGCCCTGAAACTGTGTGCCAAAGAAAATCTCTCCTCCTTTAAGTTGTGGGTGTTGGGTATTGTGTCTCAGTGATGGGAACAAAAATCTGATACAACTTCAGACCCAGATGATCTCACTGGTAAGTTCTACTAAACTTTCAAGAAATGAATAATGGCAATTTTAAAAAATTTCTGTGTATTTTTTGCATACTCACATGCCTATATCTGTATAATTAATACCTACAAATGAAACTGTTAGATCAGAGTCAGCGTGCTCTAAATTTAATATCTCTTGAAATTTTTCTACTAAAATGATTTTGCCAATATATATTTCTATCAAAAGAGCAGAGCGCCTGTTTCTCTACACCATAACTAGTACTAGGCATATATGTTCATCAACCTAACAAGCAAAAGTCTCTCAAAGTTTTATCCACACCCCAGAGCTCTTTCCTATGTCTTTTTCTGTTGCACTCCTACTAGAACACTTTGGCCACTTACAGATGAGATTCTGAGATTATTTTACAATCTACCCTAAATTCTTCATTCCCCATGTTTTTTGCCCATTTCTCTCCTATTCATAGTTATCTTCTGGTTCTGTGAACTTTAATAGCACTTTTGATTCTTATTACACACTGACCACTTAAAGAACAATGCACAGAAAATTGTGGCTGATGAGGATTGGGAATATTTTATTTTCTTCTTTCTGGTTCTACATATTTTCAAATGTTCTTGCAATTAAATGCTATTTTTGTAACATGAAATTTGTTATAGAACTATAACATGTATACAATTGTTTTTACGTTGGTCTTGCTTTTTCAATTAGCAATATTTTCAGGCTAATGGTTGCACTATATAAATATGGAAATTATGGTGCTTTCCACAAGTACTGAGTATTCTAAGGGAGCCTGGGCTACTCCATTTCTGCTGAGGGAACAGGCTCAGACATCCCTTCTTTATTCCAGGGAATTCTGCTCTTTGCCCCTGGTTCACAATTGTTTGTGTCTGGAATGGGCCAGTGAACTACAGGGAGCCATTCCTTATGTCTATGGGAGGCTCTGGCACAAAATGTTCTAGCCAAAGGTGGGTCAGAATCTTAAAAAATTAGCAATATGGAAGAATTCAACTCTAGGTAGAAACATGGAATGCTTCCAGATATATGAAAAGAATCAGATTATAGGCAGAAATTGGGAAACGTTTCCAAAAATGTAGACAGCATCAGGATGCAGGCAGAGACAGTTCAAAGAGAAACAGCACAGAAAAGACATGAAGTACAAATAAGGGGTCATGAGTAAGTAAAAATTAGGAATAAGGCAAACCAGAAAGACAACAAAAGACATAAAACCAGGAGGAAGCCTAAAAAGAGAAATGGTAGAAATTCAGCAAGTCTTGATTATGTAAAAGAAGACATAAAGAGATGTTTTACATCTCCATTCAGGAATAATTTTTTAAGCTGAAAAGGGGTTGACTTTTATTTTATACCAGGTTTGAAGAAAGATTTATTTTAGCCATAAGTAAATTAAAAAATTAAACAAGAATTTCCTACTTACATGGTCAGTTTAAATAGCAAATGAATCCCATTCCCCTAGCTCACAATAGTTACAGACAATAAATAACAAAGTTTTCTTCCATCTACAATCTAACTAGATTTTAGGCAGAAACAAACTTAGGATGGTTTGGAATCAACTTTAGGAGAGGGTCGATTTTACTAAAGGTTAAAAATTAAGTTTTAGAGAAAAAAATCTCTATTAATCCCAATATATTAAACACTATGAATAATGAAAGTTCTTAAGTGTTAAAACTGATAACAATTTGATAACAGTTTTGACTGTGGTCACCTTAAAGAAGAAATATCATTTAAAAATTTTTTTCAATGCTAGTATCAAACTCAGGGCCTAGTGCATACTAGGCAAGTGCTCTACCACTGAGCTATATTCCCAGCCCTAATTATAATTTTTATTTGACATGTGATATTTATACATATTTGTGAGATACAGCATGATATTCAATACATGTACACAGTGTATGTATATAATGTGCAATATTCAAGGAAAGATATCGTTTATATTACTTCTTTGTTCATTGATGGATGAATGGTCAACTGTCATTGATATCAGCTGTCTCATTCTACCCTTCGGCAGTCTTCTACATTGGTATACCATTTGGAGACTATTATAAGACAATCACAACACACTTTGACAGTACTAGAAGCTATAGAAATACTACACATTTCCTGTTTATTACGTAGTACATTTCAAATGAGGGCCCCAACACATCCCAATAATTCTAAAAACTTACTAGATGTTGTAGAAGCTGCTCCACCCACTCCAGAGAATTTTAATCCACACTCCAATATTATGCCACCAAGTGTTCTCGCTGAAGTTGTTGGGGCGCCAACTACAAAGAACAAGACAGTATTAACTATTACTCTTTTAATTAAAAAGTGAGTAATTTATGTAGAATCATGAAATTCCAGGAAAAGCAAATCTATGGAGATAGAAAATAGATTAATGGTGATCTACAGGGATCTTACCAAGATGATGGAAAGGTTCTAAAACTGGATAATAGTGACAGGTACACAATTGAGTACACTGACTTGAGCATTTAAAATAAGTTGATTTTGGGCCAGGGATTTAGTTCAGTGGTTTTGCCGCCTGCTGCGCAAGAGAAAGGACCCGAGTTCGATTTCTGGTACCAAAATAAA